TTAGGGTTCACCTGTAGTCTCCATTGTAGTTTCTGTCTTCGGTTGAAGTCTAGCCAAGTTCATAATCTAGGATCCTATAAGGTAACACGAGCAAAGAGCTACATTGGAGACTGTAGGTAGGGTCAGGTGCGTAGGGTGTGAGTTTAGAGCTTGGGGGGGTAGTAGAGCTCATGGTTTAGAGTCCAACTGTCAGAGTTTTGGGGTTTAGAGTTAAGGGGTTTTGGGAGGGTTTAGGGTTTAAGGATATCCGGCATTACAACAGATGCTGGTGAGGCAACTAACTGCCTGGTTGATATGTTGCCGATGTGTTATCTTCACTGGCTAGGTAGCTGTAGGAGTCTTCTCACCCGAGTGGGGCTTCCTGCTGCAGGCGAAAGAATGTAACTACATAGAAAAGGTCAGGGATAGCTGCAGAGAACGCAATAGAACGGCCACAGGTGGAGAACCCGTTTCCATGATGTTGCTGCAGGGCCGGGTGGACCAAACAATCCCTGCACATACTCCCGCTGCTACCGTGGACTGGTGGGATGGCTACTACTATGCTGACGAAATGGCTGTGGTGAATGCATACAAAGCCTACGATCACTGCCGGAATTCCGAACCAAGGAGATTCCCCACACCACATGGGGTGGGCAGCAAGAATGTGTCCTGTGTGGAATATGGCTATAACTGTTTGCAGAGCTCCTCGGTGGTTGAGTGCACGTTTAATGCCGGGCACGATGTGCTGTGGGAGACAGACTCGAACAGCCTTGCGGACGGGCCGGAAACTGCTTGGTTCTTCCTGTGTCAACATTCCCGGGCCGGTGCCATCCCTGCAGACTCATGTGTGCTGCCACAGCAGCCGGCCTCGCTAATGCAGACCCAACAACTATTTCTGGAGCCAGAGGCTGAGAAGTCTTCAAAGCCAGCCGTGTGGCACTACTTAGCCCAAGTCGCTATCGGTGTCGGTTTCCTTGCCTTCGGACTTGGCGTGTTCTGCTCTCACAGAAGAAGAAGGCGTGCGAATGACCAGCGTAGCGACTACGCCGAATTCTCCGCATGAGGTCGTTCCACTGGGGCTCCTCGTTGCTCCCCTGCATGGGTGATACTACATGGAGGTTATTCTCAATTTTGAACAACCGCCACAGGACATATCACCACATCATCCGAGTCAGTGGGCTGTGGTGCAACTGTCACCTTGGCTGTGAAACGCCGATGGCATGCAATGTCTTGCCTGCAAAGTCACTACGCACTTTCTCACATCCCAATACATGACATGAAGCTAAAGTGAAGAAGCATGAATACTTGTTAATAAGACTCCCTCAAGGCTCCTGATCTAAAAATAGATTGTAGTAGACCCCGAAACCTTGCTCAAATGTTTGAGGCCCCGTAAGATGTGAAGCCCAACACCATAGATGTGGCGCTTCGTCAGTCGAGTCCCACATTTTCCGGGAGGTGAAGCCTCCAATCTTTACGATTGAGAGCCTCCCATAATCCTCCGTGGTGCGAAGAAGTGCAGCAGGATCAGGGCTTCTGTTTAGGGTTTAGGGTTTAGGGTTTTTCCGAATTTTGAGCTTTGTAACGCGCTGGCTTAAGGTGGGTGAGGTTGCTTCACGGGTGAGTGATTCACCTGAAAAGGGTTCGGGGTTTCGGGGGCCCATTTGCGGTTTGGGCCTCTGCCAAGTACTTGCACCCTAAACCCTAAACCCTAAACCCTCAGTGATGTCGTGGGACCATGATGATAACAGGAACGACGAGGCGAAGAGTAATATCGGGCCTCTAATTAATGATCTGTACTACTGGTGGGGCGTTCCTTATTGTAGTGATAGTATAGTTTAGCCCCCAACCCTATTCTAATTATTAAGGCCCCCATAGTGCCTTCTAGTGGCAGCATCCAGCAGCAAACCACCTTCCAATGCTATCACACTTGCTGCTGCTGCTGCTGCTGCTGCTGCTGCTGCTGCTGCTGCTGCTGCTGCTGCTTACTACTGCTAATGCTGCTGCTGCCGCCGCTGCCATCTGCCATCTGCTACTGCTACTTTTACGGCTACTACGACCGCGGCTACTGCGAACGCTAGTCGCTGCTAGACCTAGTCCTAGTCCTAGTATGTCCTCGCACTACTCCTCTTGGCACCAGGGCTGCATGTCCTGGCACGCCCGTCGTGGACGGCCGACAGGCGGGAGCCTGAACGCTGCCTACGAGGTTGCTGACGACGTTTAGGATGTTAAGGCTTTAGACGTTCAGGGTTTACAAAATCTTATTCTGACAAGCTTTAGAGTTGTAGGGTCTGCCGAGAAGAAGGGGTAGGGTGGGTGAGGATCTAGATTCGACGACGACGATAACGGCGACAACGGTATTCTTACATGCACAACATTCGAAACCCCTACACCCCAAATCCTAAACCCTAAACCAGCTGCCCCGAACCCTAAGCCCTAAACCCTAAACCAGTAACGCCTACACCCCTAAGCCCTGAAGACGACGGTAGGGGCCGAATTAATTACCAATAGTATTCTGGGGGTTCCTTTATTAGTTACAGTATACTAGACCCCAACGCCCTATTCTAATTGTGAAACGCCCTATGCTAAACCCTTATAACCCTTATAGTAACCCTTTAAATGAACCCTATTCTCACGGTTTTGCTAAGGAAGCCCCCCCCAAACCTTATATTTTTTTATCAAGGCCAAAACCCTAAACCCTAAACCCTAAACCCTAAACCCTAAACCCAAACCTTATTATTTTTTATCAAGGCAAAGTTCAAGGTTTTGAAGTTTTGGGTTTAGGGGGTTTTAAGGGGTTCTAAGGGCTGACATAGGGCCCGGCATCGAGGGTTTAGGGCTTAGGTGTACGAAGGTTTAAAGTGTGTTTAAGGCATTTTAAGGATTTTAGGGGTGTTGCGAAGATTTGGGTTTCATAGCGGGTCAGGGTTTCGGGGGTTCAGGGTCTAGGAGTTGCATGAGGGCTAAGGTAGCAGGTAGCACGGTTGCGGGGTTGAGGGCTTCAGGGTTTGAAGGGCTGCGATGCTAAGGCTCTACATTGATTTCACCTTATAAAGTTCAGAAACTTCCGATACCCCAAACCCTCCGCTACAGGCGCGAGTGGTGGCACCGGCGCTTCCGCTGCAGCGAGTGCGAACACCCTCACCGGCAGCGGCTGGGCAGGATCTTGTTTTGACATTGCTATGGTGACTTCGCAGGAGCAGTAACTGCAACTAGCACCTGTAATAGGCAGCAGTCGTCGTCGCAATAGAAATGGCAAGTAGTGGTTGAGGTAGTAGTCGTTTTCGCTGTCGTGGTGCTGGTGCTGGTTCCAGTGACGGTGGTGCTGGTAGTGGTGGTGGTTGGAGGCGGTGCCGGCGGCTACACAGGTGCCGGTGGTAACAAATTGGCTTGTGACAGAAAGCCTTGTGTTCATGAATATGAATACAGCGGTTTGGGAGTTTCTAGTAAAATCAGACTTTCACGGTTGTTAGGCCGGTGAAATGTCGAGCTTTCTCCATTTGTACCGCATGCATTTTGAGCACATTCCCAAGCGTCCCAGGAAATTATTGCCTACACTCCTACGCCACCCGCGCTAATTTCTGCCCATGTAGTCTATACAGGCTTGCAGCTAATCTAGCCCTCACCCTGCTCACACATAAGGACTCTCACAGGGGGCAAGGGGTCGGGGGCAGGGGGGAAAGGACCTCTGAAAAGGTAGTTGGCAGGATGCAGCGGTCATCTACATCCTATGCGCTACACCCCGAATCCTTGAAGCCTAAACCCCAAGAGGCAAAAGGGACGTTGAAACACAAAAAACCCAACACCCACCCCTGAACCAAATACCCCTAACCCCTAACCCCGAAACCCTAAACTCCTAACCTCAAAACCCGGAACTCCTACCCTCAAAACCTTAAACTCTTAACCCCATAACCCTAAACTCCTATCCCCAAACTCCTGAGCCCTCAGGTGACCGGCTTGATGGCCGGGCGTGCCTTGGCCGGCCAAAGAGAGATTGCTGGACAGAGTCAGCTTAGGCCTAAGGCCCCTAAACCCTAAACCCTAAACCCTAAAACCTAGGCCTAAGGCTTAAGGGTGCTTTGGGTCTAGGGCACTTTCGAGTTTCGGCTCCAGGGTTTTGCAATGTACAGTTCACTGTAAGAGTTTATCTAGATTATAGGAGAGAGTGTACAAGGGCTTTAATAAGGTGTTCCCTGGTTCTCCAAATATCCAGCCTTCAAGCGTTTTGGGCAATTGAAGTTGGTCTTCTCCTCAAAGTTTACTACGTTACATAATCCTGATTAGTTGAGAAAACTATGCCTTAAAGCTCTTGATCATGAGTATACGATAGTAGTCCCCAAATCCCTACTCTAAGTTTCTAGGGCGCTATATTCAGCGTTGACTTCCCTGGGCATTGGGGAAGTGTTTCAGTTTCATTGCCTGCGGTCTGGACGGGTTTGGGGTTCAGGGTGTGCGGAATTGAAGGTTAACAGGGCTTGGCAAATAGGCGATTGTTTCGGGTTACTGGCTCAGGGGGTTAGTGTTTAGGGGTTTAGGGTTTAGGGGTGCAGCTGGATGAAACCTACATGTAGCCCACTTACGAAGTCCGTGATCAGTTGGGTCTGTAGGGTACACGTGGCCTTAGCCTTAGCCCTGCATCGCAAACCCGAGAAATCAAGACCAAAACTTGTCGTCACCCTACACCCTAAACCGCTAATGGTCTAAAGCTCCAAGAATGCCTTAAGCGTGAAGCCCTTATCTGCTCCATTCCTAGAATCAGAAGTAGGCAGTACATCCGGGGCCTTTATCATTAGTCCAGGGTTCTGGGTTACAGTATAGTGGTACGAGAATGTAGCAGGAAACCCAGCTTTAAATAGGAAGAACCCAGTACGACCGAAACCCTAAGTCCATAAACCGCCAAACCCTAAATTTATGAACCCCTAACCCCGAACCGCTCCCCCCTCCCGCCTCAGGAATGCATGCCCATGACGGCACGGCCCCGGCCAACGGATCGGCATCACTGAAGCCTTGTACTGGCAGGTGAGGGAAGGATTCTCTAGCCGGTTCAAGGCTGAGGGTGTAGAGGTGTAAGGTTTGGGGCCTAGGATTTCGGGTCGACTCTAGCCGATACGTCTGGCTTTCAATGTCTGTTCGGGCGTTGTCAAAGCATGTTGGCGACAGCTTAGTATTGGCGTTGCCAGTGGCAATATCAACTCGTAGAGTGATGCCATGACAACTGGTGGTGGATCAGCAGTGCTTCCCCTTGCCAGAGAGGAATGAAACTGCACGGAAGAATCACGTTTTGGGTGACCTTTGTGGGTGGGGCCCTGAAGTGGCCCTAGATACGGCAGGCTAGCCACGGTTTAGGGTCTAGGGTTTAGAGTTTAAGGTTTAGGATTTGGGGTGTAGGGTTTAGGGTTTAGGGCTAGTTCAAGGACTTAGATATTTTCAACATCCATTTCTATGCTCCCAACATCCATTTCCCTTGTCTGGGCTTTGCTAGTAACGGACCTTATAAGACTAGACCCTAAACCCTAAACCCTAAACCCTAAACCCTAAACCCTTTTCCTTCGCTTCCTTGCCAAGTAATAGGCATACAGCCTCAGAAATGTCGACCCGGAACGGCTACGGGCTTGAGCTTTCATGGGCCTAAACCCTAAACCCTAAACCCGAAACCCCTAAACCGCTAAACCCCAAACCCTAAA